AAAGAGAACCAGCGTCGTAGGACCGGAAACCCAGAGTTCTCCCTGAAGTTAGCTCGCTAAGAGAAAATCCTGCTTCGTAGTGCAGGCCTCTGGAAGCTGGTGTGTGTGTTGTGATAAAGTGTGTGTGTGTGTGTGAGAGACAGGCCTGGACTCGGTGCAGCAGCTGCAGATTAGCTGGATTATGCAGTAACACTCAGGACTTTAAAGACGGCCTCGTCACACGGAGGAATTTATTTAAGAGAAATATTAGCGTGGAGGAGATTTAAGAAAAACCTCCGGGCGTTAGAGGGGGTTACCGTCAGGGGTCTTTATATGGAGGTAACAATGATTTGATTTGGAATAAAACATATAGACGTCATGCAATCAGGAGCAAGACACAGCATTATTATTAATATAGTATTATTTCATTTTTAATATGTAGAATGACATCATGTTTATAAATCTAAAATATATTTGAGGAATCAGTGGAAGTTAAGTTGTGATGTTTCCTGCGCTCTGATTTGTTTTGAGAGTGTGTCCTGTGTGTGTGTTTAGCCCAGACGCTCATACTGGCTAAACACACACACACACACACACACACACACACACACACCTACACACACCTACCTGCATTCCTCTGTAACGCCCCCCCCTCCTCCTGTTAGGGAGCTATTGTTGTCATTAGCAGTGTCTGAATGGTGCTAACAGAGTTCCCGTTAGAATATTTTTTTGCCGGTCAACATGTCCGTTAAAGTTGAAATCTTCCGGACAAAATTAGATAAGTGCCGGTTAAAGGTCTTCTTTGTTATTTATTGAGCTTTAAAACAAATTGATATGATTCGACATTAAACAAACTAATTATAGTAGATTAACTACATTATTCAAAAGTGTACAGTAATTTACAAAAACGCGGGAATAATAAACGGAGCGCTCTCTCCTTCTCCTGACAGCCCGTCAGTATCATGCAGCTCGCGGATCCAGTAATGAGTGACCCGACAGTAAAACTAAACATATCTATAACTAGTTTAGGTAGTTTGAGAGGTAATTAAAATAGCTACGTGTGATTTTCTAACCTGAAGTGTGTTTTGCTCTGCTCGCCGCTGCAGGGGATCATGCAGAGCTGCGTGTCGACTCGTCAGCAGCAGCCGATCTCTCTCTCCTGTCAGATTAGACTTTACTCGCATTTATGTCCATATCGATCAGATCTAGCTAGTTCTAGCTAATGATATGACTACCTGCTTGTTAAAAGACACCTAAACAATAAGCGTCGCTATGCAACCGGATGAGGCCACAAAGTATAGCGCAGCATTATGCATTTGTTTACATGCCCACCGGAACCCCGAGGCATTACCAACAGATCAACGCACAATCAACCCATACAGGACATCTCTTTCTCCACATTAAGTGTTAGACATTAGAATTGACAATTTTTGTCTGTCACATACTCTTTTGTCTGTCACATACTATTCTTGTCTGTCACATAAGTGGCGCAACTGATGCGGTATTGCGCTAAGGGAAAATTATTTTGACCGGACATTTTGACCGGAGAGATTTAGATTTGCCGGACTTCAGCATATTTTACCGGTCATTGTCCGGTAATTACCGGCTAACGGGAACTCTGGGTGCTAATGCAGGGGGGTTGTTACATATGATCACACACACACACACACACACACACACACACACACACACACACACACACACACACACACACACAGCCTCAAGCTACATCTCATCATTCTGCAGGAACGTTTCCTTTTTTATGAGCGTGTGTGTGTGTGTGTGTGTAGTGTGTGTGTTTCATTTGAATTGTTTTTTGGAAATGTTTCTACACACACACACACACACACACACACACTTCCATGTGAGTGATTGTGGCCTCGAGACGTTTCTCTTCCTCCCTCACATTTCTCTGCACACAATGGAGACTTTGTTTACTCTTCAGTCGGAGGTGTGTTTACAGGAGGAGGAGGAGGAGGAGGAGGAGGAGGAAGAGGAAGAAGATATAGAAAAACTTAACTTCTTAAGTAATTCACAAAACACTTAGATATTATTAAAGCAGTATTTAGAAATCTTTTTTGGATTGAAACCTTTAGTACGCCGTCTGATCGGCGTTGACTCGATGAAATTAGATGCCGCTACGTCTTTTACAAGTTTGAGCCACGAAGAATTAAACACACACACACACACCTACACACACACCTACACACACCCCTACACACACCTGTCACACCTGAGCTGCAGTGTGTGTGTGTGTGTGATTGTCTCCAGAGTCTTAAAATACCGAGAGCAACGACCCGTCTGAGACGACATTCTGCAGAAACGCAAACACGCTAAATAAACACGTTGTAATTATTCCACGTGTTTAAACGTGAGCGGAAAGTCTAGAAACTCTCAAACAGGAAACACAGAGTGCTGCTTCTCTAACAGCTTCAGTTTGAGTCTCTGTTGGTCACACGTCTTCAGTTTGAGTCTCTGTTGGTCACACGTCTTCAGTTTGAGTCTCTGTTGGTCACACGTCTTCAGTTTGAGTCTCTGTTGGTCACACGTCTTCATGGGGTCTGCGCTGGAGCCATCCTCAACTCTTTGTCTTTCACATGAGCTTAGTGAGTGTGTGTGTAACTATGTGTGTGTGTGTGTTACTGTGTGTGTGTGTGTGTGTGTAACTATGTGTGTGTGTGTGTTACTGTGTGTGTGTGTGTGCGCTCTGCAGTGCTTCATAAACAGCAGTAAGCCTAATAACTTCCCCCTCTGGTCACACACTGATCTTATGCTTCCCAGAGACTGATTGTGCAGCAGGAGTTAGGGTGTGTGTGAGAGAGAGAGAGAGAGAGTGTGTGAGAATGTGTGTGTGTGTGTGCATTGATTTCCCTGGTATTTCCAACAGCTGGATCCAGTTAATGCTCAGAGTGGGGGACGGGATTGTGTGTGTGTGTGTGTGTGTGTGTGTGTGTGTGTGTGTGTGTGTGTGTGTGTGTGTGTGTGTGTGTGTGTGTGTGTGTGTGTGTGTGTGTGTGTGTGTGTGTGTGTGTGTGTGTGTGTGTGTGTGTGTGTGTGTGTGTGTGTGTGTGTGTGTGTGTGTGTGTGTGTGTGTGTGTGTGTGTGTGTGTGTGGGGGGGTGTGTGTGGGGGGGTGTGTGTGTGTGTGGGGGTGTGTGTGTGTGTGGGGGTGTGTGTGTGTGTGTGTGTGTGTCAGGGTGAACATGCAGCTTCTTCTTCTTTGTGGTTGTTTTGAATGCCCTCAGTTCGATTACAATATAGAAACATTCATAATGATTTCTGACTTGGTGTAAAAAAAGAATATATAAAATATATTAGAGTCTAAAAGGATAACAATTAGTAACAATATACTCGTCACTTCCTGTCAGTGAGGAGCAGACAGGAGTGTGTGTGTGTGTGTTGGGGGGTCTCCTAGTTTCAGACTGCTTGGTCAACAGTGGGGTGTGTGAGGATTGGGGGGGATGGGGCGAAGGAAAACTCTTTGGATTCTGTTCTTTGTCTTACAGAAGACCACAAACCACACACACACACACACACACACACACACACACACACACACACACACACACACACCACACACACACACTACGTGATATGGAGAGAATAAAATACCACAATATGTCTGATCAATTACTCTTGGGTTTATAATGTGTGTTAATTCTCCCTCTCTCCTCCACAGTACCTTCCCTTTCAGTGGCCTCTGCTGGACGTCCCAGGTAGATCCATGAGAGACTCTGCTACCCCCAACCACCTGGTAACACACACACAGGAACACACAGGAACACACACACACACACACACACACACACACACAGGAACACACACACACACACACACACACACACAGGAACACACACACGGATGAACACACGAGAACACACGAACACACATGAACACACACACACAGAGACACACACACACACAGGAACACACACACACACACACACACAGGAACACACACACACACACACAGAGACACACACACACACAGGAACACACGCACACACACACACACACACACATGAACACACACACACAGGAACACACACACACACGGATGAACACACGAGAACACACGAACACACATGAACACACACACACAGGAACACACACACACACACAGAGACACACACACACACACACAGAGACACACACACACACACACAGGAACACACACACACACACACACAGAGACACACACACACACAGGAACACACACACACACACACACACACACACACATGAACACACACACACAGGAACACACACACACACGGATGAACACACGAGAACACACGAACACACATGAACACACACACACAGGAACACACACACACACACAGAGACACACACACACACACACACACACACACACACAGAGACACACACACACACACACAGAGACACACACACACACACACACACACACACAGAGAGAGACACGTGAAATATCGTACTATCCTACTAAAGAAACAAACCATGTTTATTGTGTACCTGCTAAAAGGTGTTTTTCGTGTTTAAAAGATCAATAATAATAAACCAGAAGTCCGGTTGAGTATCTGGAATCTTCTCCTTCTGATTGGTCCGATAATCTCTCCTTTAAAGAACAAATGAACCTCCAGTCAGTTTCCTCTGAACCCTTCCTGGAACATCTTTTCTTCCTTTAAGAAATAACCTCCAGAAGACGCTCTCATAAAACAGCCATTTATTTTAAATGAAACGCGCTGCTGTTCCCTTCAACAATTAATCATCTTTAATGATTAAAGATGATCTGAAAATAAAAATCTGAAATTCTAAATTATTATTTATTTCTGGAAAAAATAAATGTTTCCTCCAAAACAATATTCAGAATCCTCGTAAGAAAAATATCTTAATTTAAAACTCGTAGCATGTTTTCAAAATCCTCAAGAATTCAGAGACTTTCTTTTTCAGATTGGATTTTTTTAATTCCCGATTTCTTAGTTTTTTTCAAGGTTTTCTTCAAAATAAATTCAGAATTTTTGTTAATGTTTTTTCAGAAAAACCTTTTCAGGACAAATACGTTTTTCTAGGGAAAAAAAAACAATCATAAAAATGACAAATATAAAATTCTCAGAATCTCATTTTATTTTTCAGAATAAAGTCGGAAAATCTCAGAATTGTATTTTCTTTCTGAAAGATGTATTCTTCTGAGTTTTCCATGTTTCAAAATATTTGTTTTTTAAATCAGAATTTTCTTATTCTGACTTAAATCTCAGAATCTCATTTCATTATTTTTTTGGGGAAAATCATACTAAATCTTACATTCTTAGATTTCGGGTGATTTTATTTTTCGTAAAAAATAGTTTTCCTTAAACATTTTTTTCCAGAATTCTTAGAAAAAAGACATTTCGTGAAAAAATTCATTTTTATGTCATTTTCCAAATCTTTATTTCTAATTCATTTTTATGTTTTTTCAGATTCTTTTCAATTTTTTTGTTTTTCAGGACCAAAAAACGTTTTGCAGGAAAAAACGAGAAACCTATAAAATTCTCAGATTTCAGAATTTGTCGTAAAAATAAATAGATTTTATGTTTCGTTTTTCTTTTTGTTTCTTTCAGATTTCTTCAGAAAAAGTAAAAAAACGTATAAAATCCTCAGATTTCTGACCTCAGTATTTGTTGTGTGTTTTCAGTCGAACAACGTGCCGGTGCAGCACCCCCACATGACTCACCTGCACCCCCTGCTGTCATACAGCCCCGAGGCCTTCTCCCCCCAGAGAGCCTCCCCCGGGTTCTCCCCCGACGCAGGTCAGTCTCAGTCGCATCATTTCATTATTTACCTCCTGGGTGAGTCTCAATTCAGATCCAAAGGGTTTCTCATCAGATGCTCAGCAGCTTCAGGTCAGAAGGACATTCTTCTGACCTGAGCTCCTCCAACGATGCAACATATAATAAAATACAAAAATACAACAAAATAAATAGTGCAATACGTCTCTATACATGTCAGTAGAATATGAAATGTGCAAGAACAGAATATGAAATTAAATAATGTAAATTAAGACACAATTAAATACGGTTTATCACTACACCACATTCATTAATATCATTTTATTATTTAGCTTCTGATTGAATAATATATATATTAGTAATAATGATATCATCTATTTATAATTGTAAATGTATATTGTATGTAGACATACATTTAGACATTTTGGAACTACGTATTTTTTGTGTTTCCTACGAGACTGTAATGATTGGCTGTGAATGAGAAAATATGAAGGACAGACTATTTATTTATTTATATATATATATTTTTGTTGAGAAAGGGGCAGTTCATATCAGATAATTTTCCTCTCCCTGCTCCTTTTCGGGTACGGTGTGTTTACAGAGACATGTTCTGTACATAATTGTGATGTGACGTTCACGAACGATCCGATTCTTTTGAACGGTTCTTTGGTACGAACGAAGGGAACCGAGTCGTACTTGGTGAGAGCCGTTCTCTTTTTATCGTTGGTTATAAATCCACTCGCCTTTACGGGAACCTGCTTTCCTGAATGCAAATGTTCCGTAGATGATGGCATATCGCATGCTGCTTGAGTAGGAGTTTGGCTGGCTGAGAGATGGAGCAAGTTATACATTTTCTGTGAGTAGAAGTAGATTTCTGGCATTACAGTCAATCATTATCCTGGTGATTATTTCCCAGATAAACCTATTAACCCCGCCCCCTTTTGAACGGCTCTTTTGAACGGCTCTTTTGAACGGCTCTTTTGAACGGCTCTTTTGAACGGCTCTTTTGAACGGCTCTTTTGAACGGCTCTCGGAAAGGAACGGAGCCATAAGATCCGGCTCCCTTCACTAGCCCTAATTCCCATCACTAGTACATCATTGTTAAACATTAAGTTGTGCAAACCATGAACGGAACAAATAGAAATGAAAAAAAAAAAGTTAATTGAGCTTTTGGGAGAAGGGGTGGGGTTAAATAAGTGTAAACTTCTTCCCACCTGTTTTTGGATGTGTAATAAGTCATTTGTTTATATAAAATGTGTAAGTCAATACTATCTTTGATTATCCATGTGATGCTGCTGAAGTTTGTACAGTTACAAATCTCAATTTATATGTCAGTTTTTCCATCAAAAAGATTTCTTCCACGATTGTTACCCATTGGTTTTTCGTTGCTGGCGCTTCCTTAACCTCACACCCAATTATTTGACGTAATATCATTGTATTATTGAGCTCCTAATGAGCGTCTTGTGTCCTCAGGCATGTCGAGGACGCCCTGCTACCCCGTGTCTCCTGGAGGAATGGCTCAGATCCCTCTGGGCTGGCTGTAAGTTTAAGTCTCTGTACAAGTTAAAAACATGTTGATAAAAGACGTTCGCATTATAACACACATCACACATTCTGTTCAAATAATAACAAAAACAAAAAAGGCTAGATTGCAATAAAACATCAGTCTTTTCGTCAGTCTGTTAATTTCACAGACGTTTCTCATTCGTCTGCGTCTAACGTTACTCTCAGAAACACCAGATTTCTTTGCTGCTCGACAGTTGTTTGTCTGCTTCGTGGTTCACCATTATCTTAAAATTAGCATCGTAACTTCTCCTCTCTTGTTTATTAACTCGCCTACTTTTAGAAAGCTCTCCCTGGTCTCCAGCTTGAGCTTCAATCTCAGGATCCATGTATCTGTGATCCTCTCCAGAATGGAAGGAGTCATCACATACAGAGCATCAACTAGTTCCTGAACAGTGTCCTTCACATGCTGATATCCAAGAGAGGGAGTTACACAGTCACAAGATGGAGGAATAGAAAGCAGTATTCAATGTTTACTTCAGATTAGCTCCACGTCAGAAATGAGCATGCTTGTCATATGTCTATCTCCATAGAGGCTGAATCATCATGTTAATCACATAGCTATCATATGCCTCAAACAGTCCTGATGCTCTTCTAGGTAATCAGACATCCTGTCATGTTCACAGCTACAGTTGGGATACCTTTGTTATCATGTTACTCTCATGTTGGAAGAGGACATTCAGTGTTTTTGATCCACTTTGTTCCAGTTGGTCTCTGTCTCTATCATTCATCTTAATGTGTGTGTTTGCAGGCCGGGGCAGACCATGTACCCCATGGCTGGAGGATTCTCCCCTGCAGCCATGGCCATGAACGCCTCCATGTCCAGGTGAGTGTGAGCTGTGGTGTTGTGATTGTAGTAACATCAGAATCAGAATAACTTCATCCGTCCCACAGAGGGGAAATGTGCATTACAGCAAGAAAAGAGGAAGCATGCATTACAAAAAGATCAAAGTGTATTACTCAATTCACAAAATACTCATCCTGTAACAAAGGGTCCTCAAACTCCAGGCCCACCACTTCATTTCATGTGGCCCGCAAGAGCTCTGAAAGAATATAATATACAGTGAAATGCCACTTTAAAGAAGCAGGTTGCCCATAAACTACATGTCCCACAATGCATCTTGTTTTGTGACATGCACTGAAGAGACTTGCAATGATTTGCCCTAGACTTCTGCTTTCAGACGAAGTTAATTACTAAGTTATTATCCTATCTGATAATAATCCAATTCTGAGGCAGTAATGTAATATAATACATTATTTTATATATATGTATATTTGTATAGTTATATTACAACCGACCCCAACCATAATGCCAATGTGGCCCGCGATGAATGTGAGTTTGACCCCCCTGCTGTGACAGTTCTGAGATATATTGCAGAGTTATGAATATACCAAACCTGCCCATTTCTACTGGAAGTTCCTCAAACCTTTGATTTGTTTTTATTGAATTGTGCAGCCTGGTGTCCGGAAACTTCTCTCCACGCATGGTCCCCCCTCAGTCGTCCATCCCTCATTCAGCCATCAGACACACGGGGGTGAAGCAGGAGCCTGGAGGCAGCCAGCAGGGGTAACAACTCTTATTATATATATATATATATATAAAACATATAACCATAGAGGTACACACATCCTTTACTCAAGTAGAAGTACACACATCCTTTACTCAAGTAGAAGTACAGATACTGGTGTTTAAAAGTACTCTGGTGAAAGTAGAAGTACTGACTAAACTTCTTCACTCAAGTCAAAGTAAAGAGGGCTTTGAAATGTACTTCAGTAAAAAGTACCCATAACTAGCAGCTGTTTTAAAGAGTACCTGACCTCCCTTTATATTAATAGAACAATAATGTCATTGTTAGCTAATGAATGTTTCCATGCTGAACAACGGCAACATGACAACGTTTTCATTGGTCCCTCTTCTTTAGAGAAGACCAGGAAATGATGGATACACGGATCGTGTTCAAATCAATAGGCACGCAATGACTCTAAATAATAATGATCACGCCACCAAACACACATTCAAACTAAAGGAACCAGCCTGTTTGGGAAATGTGAGAAGTAGAAAGTACAGGTATTTGGGTTCAACATGTAAGAAGTAGAAAGTACAGGTATTTGTGTTCAACATGTAAGAAGTAGAAAGTACAGGTATTTGGGTTCAACATGTAAGAAGTAGAAAGTACAGGTATTTGTGTTCAACATGTAAGAAGTAGAAAGTACAGGTATTTGGGTTCAACATGTAAGAAGTAGAAAGTACAGGTATTTGGGTTCAACATGTAAGAAGTAGAAAGTACAGGTATTTGGGTTCAACATGTAAGAAGTAGAAAGTACAGGTATTTGGGTTCAACATGTGAGAAGTAGAAAGTACAGGTATTTGAGTTCAACATGTAAGAAGTATAAAGTACAGGTATTTGGGTTCAACATGTAAGAAGTAGAAAGTACAGGTATTTGAGTTCAACATGTAAGAAGTATAAAGTACAGGTATTTGGGTTCAACATGTGAGAAGTAGAAAGTACAGGTATTTGAGTTCAACATGTAAGAAGTATAAAGTACAGGTATTTGGGTTCAACATGTAAGAAGTAGAAAGTACAGGTATTTGGGTTCAACATGTAAGAAGTAGAAAGTACAGGTATTTGGGTTCAACATGTAAGAAGTAGAAAGTACAGGTATTTGGGTTCAACATGTAAGAAGTAGAAAGTACAGGTATTTGAGTTCAACATGTAAGAAGTATAAAGTACAGGTATTTGGGTTCAACATGTAAGAAGTATAAAGTACAGGTATTTGGATTCAACATGTAAGAAGTAGAAAGTACAGGTATTTGGGTTCAACATGTAAGAAGTAGAAAGTACAGGTATTTGAGTTCAACATGTAAGAAGTAGAAAGTACAGGTATTTGGGTTCAACATGTAAGAAGTAGAAAGTACAGGTATTTGTGTTCAACATGTAAGAAGTAGAAAGTACAGGTATTTGGGTTCAACATGTAAGAAGTAGAAAGTACAGGTATTTGTGTTCAACATGTAAGAAGTAGAAAGTACAGGTATTTGAGTTCAACATGTAAGAAGTAGAAAGTACAGGTATTTGGGTTCAACATGTAAGAAGTAGAAAGTACAGGTATTTGGGTTCAACATGTAAGAAGTAGAAAGTACAGGTATTTGTGTTCAACATGTAAGTAGTAGAAAGTACAGGTATTTGTGTTCAACATGTAAGAAGTAGAAAGTACAGGTATTTGGGTTCAACATGTAAGAAGTAGAAAGTACAGGTATTTGTGTTCAACATGTAAGAAGTAGAAAGTACAGGTATTTATGTTCAACATGTAAGAAGTAGAAAGTACAGGTATTTGTGTTCAACATGTAAGAAGTAGAAAGTACAGGTATTTGTGTTCAACATGTAAGAAGTAGAAAGTACAGGTATTTATGTTCAACATGTAAGAAGTAGAAAGTACAGGTATTTGGGTTCAACATGTGAGAAGTAGAAAGTACAGGTATTTGTGTTCAACATGTAAGAAGTAGAAAGTACAGGTATTTATGTTCAACATGTAAGAAGTAGAAAGTACAGGTATTTGTGTTCAACATGTAAGAAGTAGAAAGTACAGGTATTTGTGTTCAAAATGTAAGAAGTAGAAAGTACAGGTATTTGTGTTCAACATGTAAGAAGTAGAAAGTACAGGTATTTGTGTTCAACATGTAAGAAGTAGAAAGTACAGGTATTTGTGTTCAACATGTAAGAAGTAGAAAGTACAGGTATTTGGGTTCAACATGTAAGAAGTAGAAAGTACAGGTATTTGTGTTCAACATGTAAGAAGTAGAAAGTACAGGTATTTGTGTTCAACATGTAAGAAGTAGAAAGTACAGGTATTTGTGTTCAACATGTAAGAAGTAGAAAGTACAGGTATTTGTGTTCAACATGTAAGAAGTAGAAAGAACAGGTATTTGGGTTCAACATGTAAGAAGTAGAAAGTACAGGTATTTGTGTTCAACATGTAAGAAGTAGAAAGAACAGGTATTTGTGTTCAACATGTAAGAAGTAGAAAGAACAGGTATTTGGGTTCAACATGTAAGAAGTAGAAAGTACAGGTATTTGTGTTCAAAGTGTAAGAAGTAGAAAGTACAGGTATTTGGGTTCAACATGTAAGAAGTAGAAAGTACAGGTATTTGTGTTCAAAGTGTAAGAAGTAGAAAGTACAGGTATTTGTGTTCAACATGTAAGAAGTAGAAAGTACAGGTATTTGTGTTCAAAATGTAAAAAGTCAAAGTAAAAAGTGGTCAGAGAAATAAGTAGTGGAGTAAAGTACTGATACCAGAAACATGTACTTAAGTACAGCAACAAAGTATTTGTACTCCACTACTCCCCCCCCCCCCCCCCCCCCCCCCCTCTGGGTGCAGTGATATCATATTAACTTGTGTTTCTGCAGCAGGTCGGTTCCTGACGTTCCCCCGGAGAAAGAGGAGGAGAAGAGGCCTCACATCAAGAAGCCTCTGAACGCCTTCATGCTGTACATGAGGGAGGAGAGGCCCAAAGTGGTGGCTCAGTGCAAAGTGAAGGAGAGCGCCACCATCAACCAGATCCTGGGCCAGAGGGTGAGGAAACATGTCAGATGTATAAAAACCCAAATGTTCGTGTACTCATGAAGAAACATCTCCAGCAACAACACGTGCAGCATTTAGAGAACATTCAGCAGCTTGAGGAGACATGGCAGCGTTTACTGAAAGCTGCAGAAACCAAACGCTGAAGAAGCTCAAACAAAACGGAGACCAGGGGACACTAAAGAGTGACGCACACAGCTGGGAGACCAGGGGACACTAAAGAGTGACGCACACAGCTGGGAGAGCAGGGGACACTAAAGAGTGATGCACACAGCTGGGAGACCAGGGGACACTAAAGAGTGACGCACACAGCTGGGAGACCAGGGGACACTAAAGAGTGACGCACACAGCTGGGAGAGCAGGGGACACTAAAGAGTGATGCACACAGCTGGGAGACCAGGGGACACTAAAGAGTGACGCACACAGCTGGGAGACCAGGGGACACTAAAAAGTGACGCACACAGCTGGGAGACCAGGGGACACTAAAGAGTGACGCACACAGCTGGAGACCAGGGGACACTAAAGAGTGATGCACACAGCTGGAGACCAGGGGACACTAAAGAGTGACGCACACAGCTGGAGACCAGGGGACACTAAATGGTGGAAACTTACCTAAAATGTTTTATGGTCTTATTTGAACAATGTGATCACATGACTCCTCCTGATGTTACTGCAGATCTGCTGTAAGCTAGCTAGCTAACGTAGCTAATCTAGTCATTTCAGATATACTGGCAACTAGTGATAGTCCTCAATATAATAAGACCCTAGGGGTTTTTAAATCTTCACTAAAAACACACTTCTTCTCTCTGGCCTTCTAGTCAGAGCGGAGCACGACTCCTGACTTTTCCTTGTGTTTTTTTTAATATATATATCTGTTGTAATTTATTGTCTTTTATTGTGATTGTAGTAATGTGTTTTTATTGCATGTACAGCACTTTGGCTCGACCAAAAATCGCTTTTAAATATGCTTTATAAATAAAACTTGATTTGATTTTGATTTGATAATCTCTATATTATCTGATATATAATGATGTGATGGTTTCTGTCCTCAGTGGCATTCACTGACCAAAGAGGAGCAGGCAAAATATTACGAGATTGCTCGTAAAGAGAGACTGCTGCATTCAAAACTCTACCCGGGGTGGTCAGCAAGAGATAACTACGTGAGTACACACACACACACACACACACTAAACGTCATCACGCCCAACATTAGCCACCTTTAGCTTAGCGGTGCTGACGTGAAGTCATGTGACCGTGCTGTAGTTCCTTTATAGCCCAACATTAGCCACCTTTAGCTTAGCGGTGGTGACGTGAAGTCATGTGACCGTTAGGGATGGGTACCGAGCCCCGGTATTAAACGGGCCCCGGGGCTGAATTATTAAAGACCGTGGTACCGTTAAGCTCCGACGTTATCGGTCTTTTTATCGGTACTGGAGACATCTAAAAAATATGTCATGTGTATTATTGCTACACAAACATTATATTGCAGTTTTAGTGTCGCCAACTCCGTTTCTAATACGCAAAAAGACTGCAAAATGCGTCATTTTTAGTATTTTCGATCTCTCCAATCCAGACGAGAGATCTCTCTCCCCCGCCTGCTTGCGAGGGGGCGGGGCAGTTTACACACACGCAGCTGCTCCATGCAGCAACACACACACACGGAGGAGATGGCGGAGAGAACGCGCTCCGAGGTGTGGTTAAACTTTACCTGTCTCGCTCGTTGCCTAAAGTGCAATAAGAGTTTAGCATGTCAGGGCGGTAACACGAGAAATTTGTCTAAACATCTTGCAAAAGTGCTCCACGTTCAGACGGAGAAATGCACCGGGTTCGACTGTCTTTCTAGTAGCTCTGTAGCCCCATCCACGAGTAACGTTTCCACGTCAGGTGTTATGTATGCTAGCAGCAACACACGGAGCTAACTCAATGATTCAAACATGGGTTGATGATTAGAGGGAACTGAGTTATTTAGTTTGTTAAAGTTTCAGCCATTCTGTTCACAGTTCTGTCATCAGATTATTTAATATGATTTGTTAAAACGTTGTTGTTTCTGTTGATGTGAAATATTATGCATTTCATTTAAATAAAAAGCAATGTTAGTTTTGTTCACAATTTGTTAATTTTCATTTAATCGTTTATTTGAATAGGGACAATGCACATTAATGAACACTTTAGACAAATAATGCTTCAAGTAGGGTGACCAGGTGCCAGAAAGCCACAAGTGGGACAGAGAGTATATTTGTGTGGGACAATGTGGGACATGTAAATGTAATGTTGACGCATGAACTGTCAACGGGGGGGGGGGGTACACTGTGGACCTCTGTCGCCTGTCAGCGCAACTTACATAATGCCGTTTAAAACATAATCATAATGGCAGAAAAGCGTTTTGGCCAATCAAAATGAAATATGCGGGACATCGTCTCAATTTGCGGGACGCACCAAAAGTCGTGAAAATGCTGTGCAGTCCCGCGCAAAGCGGGACATCTGGTCACCCTAGCTTCAAGTGTAAATATGCCGGATTTTAGCTTTGAGCTAATTTCCATCCGTAGTCCCTGACATACAACATATAGTTAGTTTACCTCATTTTTCTCTCCAAAAGAACCGATAAGAGTACCGTTAAAAGACCGGACCGATAAGCGGTATCGATAAAAGTAGTAGTACCGTTAAAACCTTAACGATACCCATCCCTAGTGACCGTGCTGTAGTTCCTTTATAGCCCAACATTAGCCACCTTTAGCTTAGCGGTGGAGACGTGAAGTCATGTGACCGTGCTGTAGTTCCTTTATAGCCCAACATTAGCCACCTTTAGCTTAGCGGTGGTGACGTGAAGTCATGTGACCGAGCTGTAGTTCCTTTATAGCCCAACATTAGCCTCCTTTAGCTTAGCGGTGGTGACGTGAAGTCATGTGACCGTGCTGTAGTTCCTTTATAGCCCAACATTAGCCACCTTTAGCTTAGCGGTGGTGACGTGAAGTCATGTGACCGTGCTGTAGTTCCTTTATAGCCCAACATTAGCCACCTTTAGCTTAGCGGTGGTGACGTGAAATCATGTGACCGTGCTGTAATTCCTTTATAGCCCAACATTAGCCACCTTTAGCTTAGCGGTGGTGACGTGAAATCATGTGACCGTGGTGTAGTTCCTTTATAGCCCAACATTAGCCACCTTTAGCTTAGCGGTGGTGACGTGAAGTCATGTGACCGTGCTGTAGTTCCTCTATAGCCCAACATTAGCCACCTTTAGCTTAGCGGTGGTGACGTGAAGTCATGTGACCGTGCTGTAGTTCCTCTATAGCCCAACATTAGCCACCTTTAGCTTAGCGGTGGTGACGTGAAGTCATGTGACCGTGCTGTAGTTCCTTTATAGCCCAACATTAGCCACCTTTAGCTTAGCGGTGGTGAGGTGAAGTCATGTGACCGTGCTGTAGTTCCTTTATAGCCCAACATTAGCCACCTTTAGCTTAGCGGTGGTGACGTGAAGTCATGTGACCGTGCTGTAGTTCCTTTATAGCCCAACATTAGCCACCTTTAGCTTAGAGGTGGTGAGGTGAAGTCATGTGACCGTGCTGTAGTTCCTTTATAGCCCAACATTAGCCACCTTTAGCTTAGCGGTGGTGACGTGAAATCATGTGACCGTGCTGTAGTTCCTTTTAAAGCCCAACATTAGCCACCTTTAGCTTAGCGGTGGTGACGTGAAGTCATGTGACCGTGCTGTAGTTCCTTTATAGCCCAACATTAGCCACCTTTAGCTTAGCGGTGGTGACGTGAAGTCATGTGACCGTGCTGTAGTTCCTTTATAGCCCAACATTAGCCACCTTTAGCTTAGCGGTGGTGACGTGAAGTCATGTGACCGTGCCGTAGTTCCTTTAAAGCCCAACATTAGCCACCTTTAGCTTAACGGTGGTGAGGTGAAGTCATGTGACCGTGCTGTAGTTCCTTTATAGCCCAAACATTAGCCACCTTTAGCTTAGCGGTGGTGACGTGAAGTCATGTGACCGTGCTGTAGTTCCTTTATAGCCCAACATTAGCCACCTTTAGCTTAGCGGTGGTGACGTGAAGTCATGTGACCGTGCTGTAGTTCCTTTATAGCCCAACATTAGCCTCCTTTAGCTTAGCGGTGGTGACGTGAAGTCATGTGACCGTGCTGTAGTTCCTTTATAGCCCAACATTAGCCACCTTTAGCTTAGCGGTGGTGACGTGAAGTCATGTGACCGTGCTGTAGTTCCTTTTAAAGCCCAACATTAGCCGCCTTTAACTTAGCGGTGGTGACGTGAAGTCATGTGACCGTGCTGTAGTTCCTTTATAGCCCAACATTAGCCACCTTTAGCTTAGCGGTGGTGACGTGAAGTCATGTGACCGTGCTGTAGTTCCTTTATAGCCCAACATTAGCCTCCTTTAGCTTAGCGGTGGTGACGTGAAGTCATGTGACCGTGCTGTAGTTCCTTTATAGCCCAACATTAGCCACCTTTAGCTTAGCGGTGGTGACGTGAAGTCATGTGACCGTGCTGTAGTTCCTTTATAGCCCAACATTAGCCACCTTTAGCTTAGCGGTGGTGACGTGAAATCATGTGACCGTGCTGTATTCCTTTATAGCCCAACATTAGCCACCTTTAGCTTAGCGTGGTGACGTGAAATCATGTGACCGTGCTGTAGTTCCTTTTAAAGCCCAACATTAGCCACCTTTAGCTTAGCGGTGGTGACGTGAAGTCATGTGACCGTGCTGTAGTTCCTTTATAGCCCAACATTAGCCACCTTTAGCTTAGCGGTGGTGACGTGAAGTCATGTGACCGTGCTGTAGTTCCTTTATAGCCCAAATTAGCCACCTTTAGCTTAGCGGTGGTGACGTGAAATCATGTGACCGTGCTGTAATTCCTTTATAGCCCAACATTAGCCACCTTTAGCTTAGCGGTGGTGACGTGAAATCATGTGACCGTGGTGTAGTTCCTTTATAGCCCAACATTAGCCACCTTTAGCTTAGCGGTGGTGACGTGAAGTCATGTGACCGTGCTGTAGTTCCTTTATAGCCCAACATTAGCCACCTTTAGCTTAGAGGTGGTGAGGTGAAGTCATGTGACCGTGCTGTAGTTCCTTTATAGCCCAACATTAGCCACCTTTAGCTTAGCGGTGGTGACGTGAAATCATGTGACCGTGCTGTAGTTCCTTTTAAAGCCCAACATTAGCCACCTTTAGCTTAGCGGTGGTGACGTGAAGTCATGTGACCGTGCTGTAGTTCCTTTATAGCCCAACATTAGCCACCTTTAGCTTAGCGGTGGTGACGTGAAGTCAATGTGACCGTGCTGTAGTTCCTTTATAGCCCAACATTAGCCACCTTTAGCTTAGCGGTGGTGACGTGAAGTCATGTGACCGTGCCGTAGTTCCTTTAAAGCCCAACATTAGCCACCTTTAGCTTAACGGTGGTGAGGTGAAGTCATGTGACCGTGCTGTAGTTCCTTTATAGCCCAACATTAGCCACCTTTAGCTTAGCGGTGGTGACGTGAAGTCATGTGACCGTGCTGTAGTTCCTTTATAGCCCAACATTAGCCACCTTTAGCTTAGCGGTGGTGACGTGAAGTCATGTGACCGTGCTGTAGTTCCTTTATAGCCCAACATTAGCCTCCTTTAGCTTAGCGGTGGTGACGTGAAGTCATGTGACCGTGCTGTAGTTCCTTTATAGCCCAACATTAGCCACCTTTAGCTTAGCGGTGGTGACGTGAAGTCATGTGACCGTGCTGTAGTTCCTTTATAGCCCAACATTAGCCACCTTTAGCTTAGCGGTGGTGACGTGAAGTCATGTGACCGTGGTGTAGTTCCTTTAAAGCCCAACATTAGCCACCTTTAGCTTAGCGGTGGTGACGTGAAGTCATGTGACCGTGCTGTAGGTTCCTCTATAGCCCAACATTAGCCACCTTTAGCTTAGCGGTGGTGACGTGAAGTCATGTGACCGTGCTGTAGTTCCTTTATAGCCCAACATTAGCCACCTTTAGCTTAGCGGTGGTGAGGTGAAGTCATGTGACCGTGCTGTAGTTCCTTTATAGCCCAACATTAGCCACCTTTAGCTTAGCGGTGGTGACGTGAAGTCATGTGACCGTGCTGTAGTTCCTTTAAAGCCCAACATTAGCCACCTTTAGCTTAGCGGTGGTGACGTGAAGTCATGTGACCGTGCTGTAGTTTCTTTAAAGCCCAACATTAGCCACCTTTAGCTTAGCGGTGGTGACGTGAAGTCATGTGACCGTGCTGTAGTTCCTTTATAGCCCAACATTAGCCACCTTTAGCTTAGCGGTGGTGACGTGAAGTCATGTGACCGTGGTGTAGTTCCTTTAAAGCCCAACATTAGCCACCTTTAGCTTAGCGGTGGTGACGTGAAGTCATGTGACCGTGCTGTAGTTCCTTTATAGCCCAACATTAGCCACCTTTAGCTTAGCGGTTGGTGACGTGAAGTCATGTGACCGTGGTGTAGTTCCTTTAAAGCCCAACATTAGCCACCTTTAGCTTAGCGGTGGTGACGTGAAGTCATGTGACCGTGCTGTAGTTCCTTTATAGCCCAACATTAGCCACCTTTAGCTTAGCGGTGGTGACGTGAAGTCATGTGACCGTGGTGTAGTTCCTTTAAAGCCCAACATTAGCCACCTTTAGCTTAGCGGTGGTGACGTGAAGTCATGTGACCGTGCTGTAGTTCCTTTATAGCCCAACATTAGCCACCTTTAGCTTAGCGGTGGTGACGTGAAGTCATGTGACCGTGGTGTAGTTCCTTTAAAGCCCAACATTAGCCACCTTTAGCTTAGCGGTGGTGACGTGAAGTCATGTGACCGTGCTGTAGTTCCTTTATAGCCCAACATTAGCCACCAGATGTATTTTTGTGAATATTGAGTGTTGTCTTTTTCTGGGTGTTGAGGCTTTATCTGACGGAGATGATTTACCTGCTGTTTCCACCGTTCTGATGTGTGTGTGTGTTTTAGGGTAAAAAGAAGAAGAGGAAGAGAGCGAAGAGTGAAACTCAGTTTGACGGTAAGACGACGATGCTTCTGTAACAATTCAAATAAAATAAAATACACTTTTAAATTCCCCAATTTCTATTTATTTAACTTTTTTATGGTTATTCCATTCTTTTGCTATTTCTTTAAGAAGGGTCAAATAAGATGTTCTTCTCCCTGCTCCTTTCCACCATGCGCTATAACAAATAAATAAAACAACCAGTATAAGTTTTGTTTTAAAATAACTGCCATGTGTGGAATACAAAAATAAAAAATGATTTCTGTGTTTTGTGTCTCAGATCTGGAGGAGGACCCGCCCCAACAGCTGAAAAGACCCCGAGATCTGCCTCACACACACACCTCACCTCACACACACACCTCACACACACACACCTCACCTCACACACACACCTCACACACACACCCCCGCCCCTCCCTCACACAGCCGGCGTCCCACCTCACACACACACACCTGTCTCAGGCAAGCCCCGCCTCCTCGCTGGATTCCCCGGCGACGCCCACAACGTCCCTCGCCTCCCCCTCCGCCCCCGCCCCCACACACACCGAGCACGCACACTCCTCCTCACACAACACACACCCCTCATACACACACTCCTCACACAACACACACCCCTCACACAACACACACTCCTCACACAACACACACCCCTCACACAACACACACCCCTCACACAACACACACCCCTCACACAACACACACCCCTCACACAACACACACCCCTCACACACGTACGCAGAACAGCTTCAGCCGCTGTCACTCACCACCAGACCCCCTAGGCCACGCCTCCTACCTCCACCAACCAATCAGATGCGAGTTTGTCCCTCAGGACAACCAATCGGCTGCGAGGAGCCTAGAATCAAATAAGAACCATTTCATAAAAACAGACACTTTCTTCTTTTTATACCGATGTACATACGCTGTCTTTTTTTTACCTTTTTTATCACCTTTTATATCAGTATGAAAATAATTGGTCAATATTTGACCGCATCTCTAACTCTTTTTGTCACTATTTTCTAAAAACAATGTGTTGTATTTGAAGCGGATGTCGCACCGGGGTTTGTTTGTTCAAAAATGATTTCTTTCACCTGGTAGTTAACGAGTGTAAATCTGTTTTCTGGTTCCTGTGTTAATAAACATTCACTGAGTTCAGCCTGGGTCAGTCTTTCTCTCACAGACCAGGGGCCTCATTTATAAAGGGATATACGGTCAAAAAATTGCGTACGCCAGTTTCTACCAATGTTTGTGATTTATAAAATACTAACTTGACGGGAAAATGTGCGGTCCTCCACGCAAACTCTAACCCATGCGTACGCACTAAGCACAACAACGGGAGAGACGAGAAACTGCGACACCGTTGGCAGAAAGAAGAATGGAGAGAAATATGTGGAAATAATACCATCAATAAAATGTTCATTTATCAAATATGAAGAATTCATTTTCAAACATTGATTAAAGCCAATCTTAAAATGATTAAACAAAAGCCTGTTTGAGACTCCTCAGTGCACACAAAAACATCACTTGGAGAAATAAATAAATACGGATATGCTATTTAAAACCACCTCGAATATGTTGTGTTAATGTTATGAAATGTTTTCTCATAAATGATGCGGTAAGCAGGAGGACAGAATTATGTCTAAACTGACGCCGTTTCGCATTTCTATAGGTTGTAGATACGAGCATGGTTTTATATACTATCACGTTTAATCGTGTTTTATGCCGTTTGCCAAGACTTGATAAGTGGCTCGTAAAACCCAGGAGGTATGGAAACTAAGAACACCATATGTGGTAAACAGCTAATATAACACAACACATTGTATTTCCTTTAACTGGTGGATTATGGATATATAGTTGCTGATCGACAGCTGGAACACAAACCACCAAATACAACACAATAATTCAGATCCAGTCGTCATGACTACACTCCGGAGGGATTCCCCGATCATTTCTTAGTTTCTCATCAAGGGGGGGGGGTCTCCTGTCCCCGGGACAAACACACTGCCTGAGGAAGGTTATGTGTATTTTTTTTTGTCATTAACTTTTTTCGGACCACTTATTTATTTATTTTGGTGACGATCCGACCTCCATGCTGCTACTCTGGTTCAAACTGCATCCACCAAACAATATGATTTATCTCCACCTCCCCAAAATAACCTTTTTTTTCGCCCGTGCCGACACCTTCCGCCGCCGATTCAACATGTTGAATCGGCGGCTGTCGGCAAAATAAATCACTGATTGGCTGTTAGCTTAGCGAATCAGTGCATGAGAAGCGAAACGGAAGTGAAGAAGGCACACACAGACGGCTATTATTTTCCATTTTCCAGTACCGCACTAAACATGTTTTGGATTATAAGTCTTTATGTGAAACAGTCTGTGATGGACGAGAGTGAAAATGGAACGCACGCTATTTGTTGTTTGTATATATCACGCAGTCTGTCTTCCGGTGAATGACAAATACACACTACCGCCGCCTGCTGGTAAGGAGAGGTATTGCCACTCACGCATGCGCAGTGCGTACTTGGCCGTCGGCTGAAGTCTTTGCGGTGTGTTCCAGTGCGACTGTTGGCCAAGACGCAGGAGACGTGAGGCGACGCACCAGTCGGGTCCGTCGGGACGTGTTCTTTGGTGTCAGTGTGGTGTGTCCGGGCCTTGACGTCACCGTCGTTGTTATAAATCCACTCGGAGACTTTAGGAGGAAAAACGGTTTAAGAATATTAATATTTAGACTTTAGAGCAGGGCTATTCAATTGGCGGCCCGCGGGCCAAATCCGGCCCCGGGGTGATATTTACTGGCCCTTTGAGTATAATGTTAAAAAGTCATCAATTTTTTTTTTAAGATTTTTTTTTTCTTTTTTTTTTTTTTTTTGTGCCATAGTGCCTTTATTCCAGAGAGGGTGTTACATTGAGAGATAGAGGGGTAGACAATGCCTGAAAACTTCGATGGGCTCGGGTTTCGAACCCACCTACTATACTGTAGTGACAACTCCTGTCATTGATTGCATCTCTGCGTGAATGATTAGATCATTTCACCTAAATGAAATCAAATGAAACATGTAGGCCTACTGAGTTCTGAACTTGCCATTTAGATCTATAAAGGCCTTGGGGCTATGTTGTTTGATTGAATTAAACACAATATATGCACTCCACTATGCTGTTGTAGTATTTACTGTATCTGAAGCTCTTAAATATGATTGCTCATATTTCAAGCCATCTTTTTCCCGGCCCCTTGCTTTGGATCATTTTCATCAACCGGCCCCCATTCCAAACTAATTGAATAGCCCTGCTTTAGAGGATCAGAGGTAAACACAGAGGAGTGTGTAGCTGAATGCACACTGAGGGCCTTCAGTAGGAATACATACACCACAGGATAAAAGAATACTCACACCTGAGAAAACACTGTGTTTGTGTATAAGAGTGCGTTTGAAAGTGTGTGTGTGTGTGTGTGTGTATAAGAGTGCATGTGAAAGTGTGTGTGTTTGAACGTGTGAGTGTGTGTATAAGAGTGCATGTGAAAGTGTGTGTGTGTGTGTATGTATAAGAGTGCGTTTGAAAGTGTGTGTATAAGAGTGCATGTGAAAGTGTGTGTATGTTTGAAAGTGTGAGTGTGTGTGTATAAGAGTGCATGTGAAAGTGTGTGTGTTTGAAAGTGTGTGTGTGTGTGTGTGTGTGTGTGTGTGTATAAGAGTGCATGTGAAAGTGTGTGTGTATGTATAAGAGTGCGTTTGAAAGTGTGTTTGAAAGTGTGTGTATAAGAGTGCATGTGAAAGTGTGTGTATGTTTGAAAGTGTGAGTGTGTGTGTGTGTATAAGAGTGCATGTGAAAGTGTGTGTATGTTTGAAAGTGAGTGTGTGTGTCAGTGGCGAGCCGTGAGCTTTATACCTAGGCCCTCTGACCCCCACCCCTTCCCTCGAAAAAAAGAAAAAAAAAAGAGTTATTACGTCACAGCGTATACTTCAGCGGAATATCAGAACAACGGCCCAGGGTGCAAAACGCATCAATGACAGCGACCCTCTACCACACAAAACAACACCTGTGAACCCAATGTGTGTTCTTTGACATTGAAAAGGATATTGCATTGTGTTTGTTACTTTCGTTGCAGTTGTATGTCTTAAGTGTAATTTGGCATGGTTTTATTTTGAAGGCGAGTTCACGCTGTTGACAGGAAGTTGTTGTTGCTATGGAAACAAGAAAAGTTTCACAGCGGGCGGAACTTGTCATAAAGTCCGCGATAATAAAACCCACCCATTTAGAGGGAAGATATGATTGGTCAATTGTACTGTCATTTGACATTACTCTCTCGTTCAGTTACTATAGCGACCCTCTGTGAATCGCAGAGAGGGCCAGACGAGCTTCTTTCATGTAACCCTTCACATTGAACCAAGCGGCAAACTCTGGGGAAGAGCCGGGACGCCAATACGGAAGTGCCACAAACTGCAGTTCATATATTGGCCGATAGGCGATGACTGCAGAAAGGAGCAATTTCCATAGACCCCCATGTTAAAATGCCCAATTTCACAGCAGAAAAAAAAACGTTTTCTAGCCCTGGATGCAATAAATACTATTATGTATATAGTTAGATTCCACCTTCATGATTATGAATCTGTGAGTGAATTGTTTTCTAACATGACCCTTTTATTTATATTAGGTCTTAAAGTTTTTGCATAAATTAGGGCGTGGTCACATTGAGTGACAGCTCTGTCAAGTGACTGCTGCTGTTAGCTTTTTGTCTCTCTGCTAGCTGCTCCGTCCGTGAAGCTACAGGGACTCTGCCTGCTCAGTTCATCCAGGGAACACAACTTGACCCCGGCCGTGTTTGTTTGTTCTTCATGCTTATATATCGGACTATTGTGACTCGCTCTGCGGTTAAAACAGACGGTGCATGAATGCCGTTTTGCGGTAAGTGAAATTCGAGTACTTTATTTATGTGTTTATGATTTCAATCAGCTACGTAATGAATGTTAAGGCTTGGGTTGCGTGTAAGTGAGTGGTAGCTACATCGGTGCTAACGATGCTAATCGTAGCCTCCAAGTTAACTTAAAACCATAGACTGTATATATAAAGGTTAAAACGAAATAGACAAGTGTTAAGCGTTAAGTGGGATAATACTGTAGAACAAAAGGCTTCTGTTTGAGGTTGATAAAATAAGGTCATCCTTGTAACTTAGAGAGATATTTTATTATGTAGGTAGGAACTGTATGCATCGCTAAGGTTAATTTAAATTGGCTATGCTCAAGTATGCAGTAGGGCCTGGCTCATTTCGTGGCATCTGCAGGCAGTGGCAAGTACTTCCGGCATCTGCCACAGATGCCACAACTTGCCACAGATGCCACAACTTGCCACAACTTGCCACCGGCATATGCCACAGATGCCACAACTTGCCACAGATGCCACAACTTGCCACAACTTGCCACCGGCATATGCCACAGATGCCACAACTTGCCACAGATGCCACAACTTGCCACAACTTGCCACAACTTGCCACAGATGCCACAACGTGCCACCGGCATATGCCACAGATGCCACAACTTGCCACAGATGTCACAACTTGCCGAGGCATCTGCCGCTGCTGAACGGGAGTTGCCACAAGATGCCAGAAGGTTTACGGTAGCTGCCACTCGCCTTCCGTGGCAAATGCTGCTGTTTAACTGTTAAACCCGTATTTATCGTGTAAAATGTTTGCTAAAATAAATAAACGTGCTATTTTTATGATAATACTCAAGATATATTATAAGTGAATAAAGACAATTTATTGACATTAAGATCTATCATTGTTGACCAGAGGTGGGAAATAGGCTAACTAAGTATATATACTCAAGTACTGTACTTGTGATTTAGAAATAGCCTACTTGTGCTTTAGTTGAGTATGTAAATGGCATGTTACTTAGTACTTACCCCACTACAATTCAGAGGTAAATTGTGTACTTTTACTCCCCTACATTTATTTAATAGGCAACCTGTAGTTACTTACTACAGATTCTGATTAGAAATATAATCACGTCTTAAATCAGACTTTAGTTACTCCTGGAGTAAATTCACAAGCTACCCTACAGTATACAAAGTCATTAAAACTAGCTGCACCTTTACCAGCTTTGATAACACTTTAACGATCACTAATTATAATGAAAACATGTAATATGTACTTTAAGTATATT